AAATATATCATTTTTATAGTAATTGGTTGAGGAGTAGAAAGAATTTGAAGAAAATGAGAAAAGTTGGAAGTAACTGGAAGAACTGGAAAAAACTGGAAAAAACTGGAAGAAATTGGAAGGAACTGGAAGAAACTGAAAGTTAAGAGTTCAAGCCCTAAAGAACATGCCTTAAGTGTTATTTAAGAAAAAAAACAGTTTTTGTGCTATTTAGGGAAACGACTTAAGTTCTGATATTATTTAGTGCAAATATTTCTATTATTTTTACTAAAATAGTAAGAGACCACACATGCACACTTTGGCAACGCACAGGTCACCTTGCCGGTTCCATACCTACCAGCTACTTATAAATCGACCCAGTCAAAATTCACCGTACAGGCGATCGCCTATCGAAAACAATTTCATGCATCCCTACCCTTAGACCTCGCAAAACTGACCCGGACACGATGACCCGAACCGAATAACTTGGAATCGAATCCGGTTTGATCCGAAAACTGAAGATCCGAAATAGAACCGAACACCCGAAATGACCCGAACCGAACACCCGAAATGACCCGAACCGAATCGAAATCGATCCGAATGTATTCAAACCCGATTCAGATCCGAATCCGATTTAACCCGAACCGATTAAACGCAAATCGATAAAACCCAAACCCAGTTAAACCCGGAACCGATTAGACCCGAAATTGATCAAATTCATCAATATTTCATTTATCAAATGAACTTGGAGAAAAAGAATTACCTATATACTTTTACATATGTTGATGTGTTTCTAAAAAAACATATTTAAATTATGGGTGCAAACCGTATAACTACTTTCATGTACAAATCTTTTACTCCGTATTTTATAACTTAAGTTAAAGTATTTTTGTATTTTATCGCCTTCAAACTTAAAGTTTGACCAATATCGTTTCTTCAAAAATATTAGCAAAAATACTAAATATAATATATTTCAAGTGTTTTTTAATACCCACAATTTGGTAATAACTTTTACTCGGTATATTTTAATTTATTATATACTTTTATATATAATTATTCAAATATTTGACACACAGAGTGAAATAGAAGGTTAATTAGAAATAAAGGAAGTACAAAGTAGAATGTTAACTAAAAAAATCGCGCTGAAAACTTTAGGAGGGAAAACTTTTGAATGTAAACAATTAGTTAATTATATGTAAGTGTTATTTTCTATGTAAGTCCGTGTTAAATAATAAAATAACTACGAAGTACTACCTCCGTCCCAGAGTATTTGTTCACTTTCATTTTTACACACCATCCAATACACTTCTTTAATCCATTTTATCTTGTAATTTGTATATTAAAAAATTATAGAAATTATATATTAATAATCTATATGTTAAGACAAATCAAACAAGATCACACATAACTATATTTAGGCTTACACATTGAGAGAATTTGATGAATCAAAGTGTTTAGATGAACATTTCCAAAAGTCAAAACTGGACGAATACTCCAGGACGGAGGGAGTATATCATAAATTGATTAAATTTATTATGTGATATTATTGATTTATTAGTAAATATTTAAAATATATCTAAACTAATATAAACCTAAATCGATACAAACCCGAATCAATATAAACTCGAACCGATACAAACCCGAATCGATATAAACCCGATCCGATACAAACCCGAACCGAAACCGAAAACCAGTCAAACCGAAATAAACCCGGAACCGAACTAACCCGACCCGAACCGATTATAACATATATCTGAATGAGACCCAAATCGAAAAGACCCGAATCGGAATCGAACCGATTGACCCGATTGCCAGGTCTACTACCCTTGGTGTGATGCGATTATAACGTCCCAATCGTACAAGTACTCCATATATATACTTCTTCGTATATACTCTCTTCATTCTCAAAAATTTTTCCTCTTTCATTTTTTTATTTCCAACGAAACACTTCACTTTTTGTTAAAAAACCACTTTTATCCTTATTTTTTCATACCTTATCTATCATATGATACTTTTTTCCTAATACTCAATCCATCACATCTTACTTTTACCCATCACATCAAAGGCAAAATTGGAAATCAACTACAATTTAACAATTCTTTATTTTTACACAAAGTCAAAATAGGAACACTTTTATAGAACGGAGGGAGTATTTCCAATTCCTCCCATAAAAATAGGGACATATTGATTAAATTGACAAAATAAAAGAGGATAATTTTGTGTTGATTTTCTAAAAATATTTTTGATGTGATGGATAAAAGTATGATGTGATAAGTATGGTATGACAAAATTAGGGGTAAAAGTAGTTTCATAATATTGGGAAGGACTTTTAGAGACACGATTTTTTTGAAATGTGAAATACTTTTTGGGACGGAGGGAGTACTATGGAGTGTGTGTCTATGTATGTATATATATATATATATATATATATATATATATATATATATATATATAATTCCACGCACCCATTATATATACATGCATGTATCATTCTTCGTTTAATTGAATTGTCAAATTCTGGTCATTTAGCTAGTAATAAGGTGTACGTCTTCCGATCCACCTTTTCCCGGCAACTATATAAATAAATATATTCTCCCTTATTTCCCGGCAACTATAATAATTAATTACTGGAGTAATTAATTATTATAATGAATCAATCGGTAAAAAATGGTGATCAGTCTCATGTTCCTCCCGGATTCCGGTTCCATCCAACGGAGGAAGAGCTCCTGCAGTATTACTTGAGGAAGAAGGTGACGTCCCAGAAGATTGACCCCGACGTCATTCCCGACGTGGAACTCAACAAGCTTGAACCATGGGATATTCAAGGTTTCATGAATTATTGTAGTATTCCTTTTTGTAATCATATCATATTTCTCTCCATCTCTTACCTGTATCTTTCTTTAAGAATAGCGTTGAGAAATACTCCCCGACTTAAAATTTTATTTACCATTTTAGTTTACCAAGTTTGACGAACGTTATTTTCAATTTAATTTATTTGATTATATATTTAAAATTTGAAAATAGAATTTAGTTCTTTCGGTCCTAAAAACATTTCATGTTTTGAGTTTTTAATAAAACAATGTCATTCTTTGACTACAAAATAAACATAATCCGAAAAAGCAAATGATTTAAAATTTTGATATATCAAAACTATATCCTAAGATGAGTCTAATTATATTGAATTTATATCATAAGTAAATATACTTTTCACACAATTTTTGGTTAAAGAGTGTCACTATTTTAAAAAAAAGATCAAAACACGAAAAGCTTTTAGGACCGGAGGGAGTCTATATTTGAAAACTACATAAATATTTTTATAAAACCAGAGGCGACATAATTATATTATTTTATCAAATAACTAATAAAAATAAGTCAAAAAAGTGAATAAATTTGACTGTGTCAATAGTAACAACGAAGATCATTTAAGGGCTGAAGAGGTAAATAATTCCTCCATCCCAAATTAATCTTCCAAATAACTATTCTTCTCTCTCGATAATTTATTTTTGTATACATATTTTTCATTAATGATAGTTTGATAAAATAAAATATTAAAAACTTTTTAGAGTTTTTAATGCAATTTTGAATGTTTTAAAATTGTACCCTCCCTGTCCCTCTTAAATTTTCCATTATAACTTTTAAGGCCAACCTTTTAACCCTTTGACTATAAATTATGAAAAAATACATTAGATTAAATTTTCATATAAATTTAATATCAATAAGTTTATTTTGAAAAATAGCTTTGAAATATTACATTTTTATACTTCCACCGTTTCATAAAATGATTCCTATTTTGACTTTTAGGAAAAATATGGAGTTTGCATTTGTGGTTGACTTTCTAATTTTTTGCTATGAAATATGATGTGATAGGTAGGATAAGAGAAAGTAGGAGTAAAATAAATTTTTTAATGGAAAGAGCAAGTGTTTAGAGGAAAACAAAAAATGAAAGAGAAAGTATTTTAAGAAACAGATAGAATGATATATATATATATATATATATATATATATATATATATATATATATATATATATATATATATATATATATATATATATATATATATATATATATATATATATATATATATATATATATATATATATATATATATATATATATATATATATATATATATATATATATATATATAAGGATTGATCAAAGTCTTGTATTGAAGACTGCAAATGCTGAAATAAGATATTTCAGTAAGAGGGACAAAGGGAGTACATTTTATATAAATACCAATTTGTATATAAAAGTGTTGTAAAATACATACTCCCTCCGTCCTTAAAAGATCTTCCTCTTTCATTTTTTTGTTGTCCCCAAAAAATGTTCCCATATTTATTAAAAAATCACTTCTACCCCTTACTTTTTCAAACTCTGTCTATCATATCATACATTTTTACGAATAATCTACACATCACATTTTACTTTTACCTATCACATCAAGGATAATTTTGGAAAGTCAACACAAAAATATCCATATCTTAAATCCTCCAAAAATTAATAAGGGAACATGTTTCAGGGACGGAGCAGATAATATTTTTACACTTTAATTTCTTTGAAATGAGAAAAATAGTTTAGGATGAAAGAAATATTTTATAATTAGCATTCTTGTGAATATATGGGGTGCACATTTAGATCGACCCATATAGTTCGGGCTTGGACGGAGGCCCATAGTGTTTAAAATAGAACCGTGCTCGATCATTTGTTGTGGGTTCGGGACCCTTGCAAACCGGCCTTGGTAAACATGCTCGGCCTTCTAATCTGGTCTCGTGCCAAGATCAAGGTCGGCCATCACCCCGGGGATCTTATTTACTCGCCCATTTAAGCACGGATCCAAGCTGGGCCACTCAACCAGTTTGAGTTTGACCATTTTCGGTTGACAAACAAGGATCAAGGGGCCGCCAAACGATTGCATTTTAAGTTTTTTTTTTCTATCTACTTGTACATGCAGAGAAGTGCAGGATAGGATCGGGGCCGCAAACAGATTGGTACTTTTTCAGTCACAAGGACAAGAAGTACCCGACGGGAAGTCGGACGAACCGAGCGACGGTGGCGGGATTTTGGAAGGCGACGGGGCGGGATAAGGTTATATACACCAGCTGCAAGAGAATTGGGATGAGGAAGACGTTAGTGTTTTACAAAGGCCGGGCTCCTCATGGCCAAAAGTCTGATTGGATCATGCATGAATATAGGTTGGACGAAACTTCACCCTCTTCCGTCGTAAGTTCCATCACTCTACTAATTACTTCATGTTGACAAATCTCACGAATTAATTTGAGTCACATATGAATTGTGATTAAAAAAAACCCTCTGTCTTAAAATTAATTTCTTAATTTGACTTTTACAGTTAAATTTTTTAAACTATTACTGCATATTCTGAAGAAATAATGAGTGTAAATTTGAGGTTGACTTTTAGAAGAAATAATGAGTGTAAATTTGAGGTTGACTTTTTAATTTTGCCTCTTGATGCAATGAGTAAAAATAAAATTTGATAGATAGATTATAAATGAGAAAAATATGATTTGATAGATAGAAAATGAAAAAATAGGGATAAAAGTGGGTTTTTATTAGAAAGTGGATGTTCTTTGAGAAAACAAAAATTTTTTTAGGAGAATTGTTTTTAGAAAGGAGGGAGTATTAATTTACATAAAAATAGAGAAATTAATGGCCAAAACGTTGCATTAAAAACCGTAAAAAGTTAAACGAGAAGTTAATTTTAAGACGGAGGGGTATATATTTAGGGTATGTTTGGTGAGCAAATAAGATATGGGTTTTGATATTTCAAGATATCAAAATTCGTTTTGGGTGTTTGGTGAATCCAAAAGAGATATCAAATTCGATATCTCTATATATCATAATTCTTTAAATGGAGGGTTTCAATATCTCTCCTGAATTTGGGAGATATCAGTATGAGGGTTTTATATCAATCTCTCTCAACCATTGATCATTCTCCGTCACTGGCTACCATTGTCACCGCCAACCTCCCCGTTGCCGGTCATTCCTGCTTATCACTAATTAAATCATAATTTTAAATCTCTCAAACAAATTCAATTCAGATTTCAAATCTTATATCATTTCTCATAGATTTCATAACTCATATACTCGGTATATCTTATTATATCTCCAAAACTCACCTAACAGGTCCTTAGTTGTGATGTAAAATACATAATTGGATTTACTTTAACATGTACGAATCGAAGTAGTTTTTATATACTCCCTCCGTCCCAAATTGAATAGTTTGTTTACTATTCATATGGTTAAACTTTATCGACTTTCTTTCTCTTTTTTCGGTTGACATTTGATAAAATAAAATAGTTATTAGAGCTGTTCATTGGTCCAAAACTGTACCAGACCGGACCGAACCAGACCAGACTGAAGACCGAAATATTCCAAAACGTAGACCGAAGACTGGACCTAAATGTACTCGGTTTTGGACCGGGCCGAATCAAAATCACATGGACCGAACCAAAAAGACAGATCGAATATATGCTTAAAATTGAGTTCATTTTTTTTATTTTGCTCGAAAAAAAGCAGTACAAGGGACAAGTCGAAACATATTGCACATAAAATCCAAACTTTAGAAGTCTAAACACAAAGTCAAAACACATTACACAGAAAAAACAAAGAACGAGCAAAAAAATTCAATCCAAACCATTCCAAATCCAAATCACCATTGTGTATGATGCATGTGCCTACATACTCCCTCCGTCCATGTAAGATCTTCCCATTACACGTTACGAGGCTTGACCGACTTTATTTTCAATTCAATTTAATTCATTATAAGAGTAAAATTTTAAAATAAAATTTATATAGTAATAAACTACATGAAAAGTTCTACAAAACTAGAGGTGACAAGACTTTATTATTTTATGAAATGACTAGTAAAAATGAGCAAACAAAGTGATTAAAGTTTGACCCTGTGAATAGTGTTTGAGAAGATCTATGGTGAACAGAGGGAGTATATAATAGTTGCCATGCACATACTTCAACTCTACTTCAAATCTTTCAAACCTACCACACTGAGCTATTTATTCTGTCACGATGATCAGGTCATGTTCTATATTTACATCCTTCAAATTTGAAAAAACAATTATGTATAAATTAAGTAAATTCCTTTTCCCTTTTTCCCCTTCTCCCAATTCTACATCACGTTAGCTTTAGCTTTTCCCGTTTCACTTCCCCTTTCAGGGAAATGCTTTCCCTTCCCTTCCCCTCCCCGCTTCAATTTTTAATATTATTTTTTAACACTTATTTTAATTAAAATAATTAAACCAAAAATATAAAAACAATAAAAATTACTTAAAACTATTAGTATGTTATTAAACTTTAAAAATTGAACATTTCATTAAAATTAAAATAAGAAATACAATACTAGTGCGTCTATGAAATATAATAAAAGTGCGTAAAACAAAACTTTATTCGAAGGAAAAAAACAGAACATAATAAAAATAAACATAATAGTAAAAAATCTAAACATCCTCGCTTGAGCTGTAACCTGCCGCACCTCCAAGCCATATCCAGGATATCTTATCTTTCATCCTCATCACCACCCTATCTTCCGTTAGACCAACACTATCAACGTCAGTGATCATGATTTTATAGTCTTCTTGCCCTAAACATTGGTGTTTGAGGGCAAGCTCTTCCACTTTTTCTTTGCATCTTTGCTCATGCATCTCCTCTCTCGCTTGTTGTTTAACCCGAAGCCTCTCTGCCTGCAATTCAGTAAAGGCGAACAACGAAGTTCTAAGATGCTCGAACCCTTTAACCAAGGGTTCGGCCTCTATGCACGAGGATCCTTCTCCTTTTTCGTGTGATCCCTCCCCATGGGTCGTTCCATCTCCTAGTGGCGTTTGGATCACTTCGCCCAGGCGACCTCGTTTGAAACCTGCGCTTACTTAGAATAGAACAACTGTGAAAGACGTTTCACACCCTAAGATGCAGGAATGAAGAAGAGAACTGCGCTTTATATTTATCAAGTGTTCCCTGCAACACGCCTTGATAATTTGAAACACTCGCACGATTCAAGTACATGTTCTTGTAGACACCACTAAATTTTTGAAGTTTTTTTTATTCATATCGCGGTATTTGGAAGCTACGAAGTGGACAAGGCGGTACAACTTTGACTTAATCAACTCATAGGATTTGTCAGTGACTTTAGCCCAATACTTGCAGCTCGTCTAAGCATTCCCTATACACACACGAGTGATTAAAATTTAAGAAAAACTAATATATAATAAAAACACTAATTTCGCTAAAAAAATTAATTCAAGTTAAATGCACCTCTTATGGAGTCGGTAGAAATGTTAAACCAAGCTTTGGCTAATGTTTTCTCCATGCTCATGGTTTAAGCTTTTGGAGCACTCCAAGTCGTGCTTGGTCCTTAATCATATTTTCCCTTCCCTTTCAATTTCTTTGGAGGTTGTGCATCAGGGACAACGTCATCGATATCATCTTCGATATTGAAAGGATCGTCTTGTGTGGGATCAAATCCAAAGGGGAGAATCGGAGGAAGACACCTGTGGTCAAAATGAATCCATGGTACTCATAAATGTGAAAAGTATTCAACAAAAATAGTAGTTGAATTCAAATAAATGGATGAGAAGTGTGTGAAAAAGATGAGTGGAGTATTGTGTTTAAATAATGAAAATTTTTTAATTTTCTTTTTTTAAATTCCCAATAGTTACATTAAAAAAACCAAATCTGACCGTTAAAGCTGAACGGAAAGAACAAGAAGGGAGTCTTGCCTTTTCCATTACCGCATGTGAGGGGGAGGGTCTTCACCTTAGATTCCCTTCTCGCGCCATGTGACTTTTTCTGTTTCCCCTTCCCGCTGTGCACCGGATAGCCTAAGGAAAACAAAATAGTGAAATTTATGAATTTATTTTTATTTCATGTTTTAGTATTTCAAACACAGAGAATTTTAAAATTAAAAAATATTAGAAAGAATAACTAAAATAAGAAATTAAAAAATGAATTAGAAAAACAACACAAACACACATACGGCACATAAAGACACATACAAGAGAGAAACACAAGCACAAAATCTCAAGACAACTAATACTCCCTCCGTCCCAAAAAGATTTACACCTTTCAAAAAAATTGTGTCCCACAATCTCCTATCCATTTCTATTAAAAAACCACTTTTACCCCTTACTTTTTCAAACCCTTACTATCACATCATACCTTTTTCCTAATAATCTACACATCACATCCTACTTTTACCCATCACATCAAGGATATTTTTGGAAAGTCAACACAAAATTATCCCTCCCTTAATTTCTACTTTAGTCAAAATGGGTAACACTTTATGAGACGGAGGGTATTAATTAGAGAAAGATATAGCATGCCAAAAGCACAAAGCAAAAAGTGAGAAAAATACCACATGATCCAAGACGCCTACCAAACTACCTTAATCATATCTCTCCAAAAGTTTTTATCTAAGGTCATATTCTCGTTAAGGTTAATCAGTCTTAGATCCTCTCTAATTATTTTCTTCTAATTCTTCCTAAGTATCCCTCACCATATCCTCACCCACCACCGTGAGCCTCACACACCTCCACACTAGGGCTTCAACTTAACACTCCACTATCTCACATGCCCAAACCACCTCCATCTAACTTCCTGGAACTTATCCTCGACCAGTGCCACTCTCACATGTCCTCGGACAACCTCGTTATGAATCTTATCTAACCTTGTCTTTTCACACATTTATTGCAGTATCCGCATCTTAGCAGCATGCAGTCGAGAAACATGAGTCTTCTTCACTTCCCAACATTCCACACCATACAACATGGCTAGTCTAAATATATATCGATAAAACCTACCCTTTCATTGTTGCCGAAAAATACTTATTACACTTAACCCCTGAAGCCAACCTCCATTATGCCCAAGCTGCTCTAACATGATGTGCAACATCCTCATCTAACTCGCCATCCATCTAAATGATCGATCTAAGATATTAAAGCTTTTCAACCTTAGGCACGAGGTGAGAATCAATCCCAACTTCCATCTTTGAATCTGTCACCCGACCACTAAAATAACATTCCATGTATTCAGTCTCAAGCCTTTAGATTCTAGGGCAATGCGCCAATGCTCTAGCATGACATTTAGTCCCTTGCGTGTCGTTGGCCAACACGATATAATCTATTTATTCTATCTTATTTTACCGTAGGATCTAATTGGAAAATAACATTCAAATAAATTACACTTTAAATAGACTCACCTTCAAATGTAGAATTGTTTTTTTTTGATACAAGGGAGTAATATTCAAGAACTACCAAATTCTTCTCAAAAACAACTCGGCAAATTAACTTTTCACGTTTTTTAAAGAAGTTGAAAAAATATGTAAGTATATATTCATTTACCCTCAATAGAAGTGGGTGGAGTATATAAAATGAGATAAGTAGGGTATAATAAATGAAGAGAGTGGGGTATTAATGGCATTTCTAATTTATTATGTATAAGGTTTTTTATGTTGATAAATAATCTTCAATAAGTTTACCTTTTCACAGTTTGTAAAAATTAATTTCGTTTTTCATACTTTGTGTAGTAAATCCACTATTCGAGTACTTGTGCGTGTTTTAGCCTTTTGGGTTGTTCCTACCCTACTAATGAGAAATTAACAGGTGAATAGTAGGCAATGTAAAAAGATAGAAGCATGTTAGCTTTGTGGGATGGTATGTCTACCCTTTTTGTACCCCAATTTGTACCCCGCAGTTTTGCACCAACACTTTGTGTTGGTGTAAAACTAATTTTTGTTAAACGCACCAACATTTGTGTCCGTGTGAATATTTATTAATGCACCAACACTTGTGTTGGTGTAAACCATCGAAATGTTTGTGCAAGCCTGTGGTGTACAAATGAGGTATATTTTTTGGTGTAAGTGTAGCATGGTCCTAGGAATTGAGTTTAAGGTTCTCTACATTGAGTGTTTGAGTCACACCCTTGTGATAAAAAGTTGAGATTAGTTTGGACAAACATTAAACGCATGGGTATGAGAGCCACTAAAAAAAGATGTCCAGTTATGAGTCTATGAAAAATATGTGAAAAAAATTCACATTTTATATATGGACCTTACGACCACAATAGTTAAATGCGCCTAGAAAATGTAGGATTATTTGAGGTGTTTGCTCTCTTTTAGTATAAAGAGTATAAATTTCATTTTAGCTAACACCATTTTCTATTTTATTTTAAATCAATTAAACACAAAAGAACTATTTTCACCATATTTATACAAAATTTTCAAAAGATTTTAATTTAAAAAGGATAAAACCCCCATCATCTAGTGTCTTTCAACACTAGTTTGACAGTTAGCTGAGAGGAGGTAAATTGAGCTATAATCTCTGTTAGTTGGCGTAGAGTACATAGGGTTCCATGCTAAGTACTTGCAAAGACCCCATATTGTCCATAGTTACCCCTCATCGTAGTCACAAGGTTTCGAACTCGGGATCTCTCTTTTTTTTGTAACACTCTTATGCCAACCGTTGAGTTATGTTTTGGCAAATATTTAAATTTGAAAAATTCATAACATCAAAGTTGTTATTGCCTTCCATTGTAATATTTTGAACTTCTATTAATCCAAGACATTTTTTTGTACTACAAGTTTTTCTATAAAATGATGGCAGGACGATTCCTTTGTTTTGATATGATGTACTCCCTTTGCTCCCTATGATCTTTCCATTTTGACTTTTTGTAATTTTTAAAGAGCATTGAAAAAGGATGAAAGTTTACCAAAATACCCTTAATGAAAATGGGTGCAGTGTATTAAATGAGGTGTATGCGTGGAGTGTAATAAATAAAGTAAATGGGGGTAGTTGTAGTGTTTTAAATATTAAAAAAGATAATGAGAAGATCTATAGGTGACAAATAAAAAAGACTAAAAAAATAATTTATGGGGGACAGATGGAGTAATACGCTAATTACTTTGTTTATTTCTTATTTAACTTACATGCCAAAATATGTGGTAATGGAGGAGGTGATGTACATTTGGGGTATACTTTTGTTGTACCCCTAGCATTTTTGTTGCTTTTTCTCGTGCAATACCAAAAGCCAACCGTTAGAGGGGAATGAATTGTCTGAGCTATGACGTGGCATAGACAACAAAATTCGCTAAGGGTTCGTTTCGCACACGGAATTAACGGAATTAGAATTGAAAGGGAAGTTGAAATTCTATAGAATTGATTTGGGCGGAATTGAATTTTCTAATTCGAGTTCATTTTTGGAGCAACCACTTCCAAATCCACATATTTTTGTGCTATCAAACATTAGAATTGAAATTATTATCCTCAATTCCATAATTTGATTTCCGTGTACCAAATATAACCCAAACGATTTGTGAATACAAAAGAAATTTATCGATCTCCCTAAGGTGGGAATAAGATATTTATAGTCATTAATGATATAATCCCCTCTTAAAAAAGAATTTTTATTTTGACTTTTGGCAAACTTAAAAAGAGTGTATTTTGTAGTTGACTTTTTAATTTTGTCTTTGAATGATAAAGTAGAATGTGATTGTTAGATTTATAGTGACTATGGATGATGGGATAGATTAAGTAATAATTAGTAGTGTTAAAAATGACATTTTAATACAAAGTGAAAGTATTTTGGGCTTGTTATCTAAAATAGGAGTATAAGATAGGAGAAATATTATGGATGTAAGATCGCTAAAGCGTTGGACATTTGGTTACAAATTTTGTGTTTAGTTTTAGTGTTTTGGAAATGCTATTAAGAACGATGTTCATATTTAACATTTTTATAGTCAGCCTACACGCGCAGCTCAAAAAATTCATAAGATCAACAATAATATAAAATAGTAATTCTAAAATGAATCTAATAGTATTAAAAATATTTTATTTAAAAATTACGATCAAAGGATATATTTTTTTAAAAAAAGATCAAACTACAATTCATTAGAGTAATAAACTTAAGCATAAATACTCACGGGGTTCTAGAGCTAGTATTTATTAATTTTAATTTTTTCTAGTCAAGCTAGACAAACTTGAATCACCATTAAATTTGAATTTGCATTTCATAATCATATAATAAAATAGATTTTTGATAATCTTCCATAAAATACATCTAGTGAAATTGATTGTGTACTAATATCCAACACATTCAGATCTAATTGACGGTCAAATTTTGTTTAGTTTTTTTTGAAATAAAGTCAAACAAGACCAATATGCTTTTTTGACCAATATCCTTAGTATAAGAATAATTTGTGTGAAAAGAATGTAGAATACATACATTTGACATCTCGATCTATATATAATTCTATAGGGCTCAAGTTTGGCAGGAGAAGTGAGTGGTACACAAGAAGAGTGTTGGGTAGTGTGCCGAGTTTTCAAGAAGAAGAGCTATCACAAGGCTCTTGATCGTGTCCCTCATAATAGTGGTGATCTTGCCCAAAGCCATCTTGGAAACGACGGCGTTCTCGATCAAATTCTCACGTACATGGGAAGGGTCTCTTCTAAACAACAGGTAGATACCGGATCGAATAATAGTAAAAAAATTGACACTACTGACAGTGTTGTGCAATTCATGCACCTTCCAGGACTTGAAACCGAACCGGACATGGATACCATCACTTCCAATAAACATCTCCACCACCATCATCTTCCCAGAACTAATAACTCAACATTCTACAACCAAGCATTTGAAGAAGACATTTTGAGCCAAACCAAACCAGTTGGTGGTGGTGTGAAAACTGCAGTGGGTTCGACCAATTGGGTTGTAATGGACCGCCTGGTTGCTTCTCAGCTCAACGGCCAAGATGATAACCTATATTTTCCCATTGTGGATCATTCTACGCCCAATGATCATTGCCATGTTTCTAATCATCCCAACAGTAATGAGGTTGAGTTCTGGAGCTACCCGAGCTCATATGGGTCACCATCTGATCCATTATCTCAATTGTCTGTATAGTGCCTGCCTGCGTGTCTGCTCGCGTTGCGTCCTACAACAAACTAAGACTGTACTCCATTTACTTATCCTGGTGTTACCATCGATCGAACACAACATCATAATTAAAACGTGTGTATAACTTTCTTTGTCCAACCAATATGATTGTGAGTGTCATATAAAGAATACAAATCATACATCAACCAGTTCACAAATATATTCAACTATAGGTAGGGGTCTCAATGAATTATGTATCTTTGTTCTCTTGAGGTGGTTCATCTAGAGTATTTAGTATCATATAAAGAATTGAAATCATACTTTAATTTACAAATAAATACAAAAGGGTCTAAATTTATTGTGAACTGTATTGGAAAAATACCCTCAATATTTTAGGAGAATAAGTGATCAATAAATTTTCCATCTTTTTGTTTTAAGAAGAAAAAAAATCTATTTGTGAATACGGTGTTTCCCACACATATGCATAAATACTCATTTTCGAGTAACGAAATACTCATATTCGTGCATAACTGAATACTCATTTTTGAATAACAAAATACTCATATTCGGGCATAAATAAATTTTAGAAAAATGAGTATTCAGTTACTTGAACGTGAGCATTCAGTTCCTCGATGTTATGAGATATGTGAAAAAGTATGAATGCAAACAATCGACAATCACGGGGAAGAAAGAAATTCAACATGTTTGGCTAACAACATGCTAGTAAAATCCATAGACAAAAGAGAACTTTTTTATTGATCATAGTTTTCTCACCAGATTAGAGATTTCTCTCTATTGTACCATGGATAGAGGAGTACAGATGTACAGATATAGATTATATATATACCATGGATAACCATATTGATTATATGTTCCATCATGTAATCATCATTAAGAACAATCATATTGATTATATGTTTCATCATTTAATCAGCATCAAGAATAATCGTATTGATTATATGTGCCATCATATCATCATCATTGAGAACAATCATATTGATTATATGTGCTATCATGTATCCATCATCATGAACTATCATCTTGATCATAAGTTCTATGATGTGTGATATCATGAATGTTCATATATGTTTATGTGAGTGTATATATAAGTATTAGTATATGTCTGAGAATTGTTCTACAATTCTAGTGTGGTACCACTCAGCGGTTTAAGTGAGCATGTAGTTTGTTGAATAAATATAAGCCCTAGAGGCAAACTTATGATTTGTATCTGGATTATTTAAAGAATAAAGGCTTTGAAGAATGTTTAAATAATCTCGTGTACTTTAGACAAAGCTTCATGTTGGAACACACTTTATATTGCGTTGAACTAAAGTCGTGTTCATTTCTAACAGGTTCTGATAATTGTCAAACCGTTGTGGATATGAAGAGTTCCATTGAATAACTCAAGGCGTGGAGAAAGGCATTAAACAAGACCAAAAGACTCATGGACAAGATCAAGAATTGAAGACTTAGTCGAGTCGTTCTTATTGTGATCAAAACCGACATCAATTCTAGTCTCGGTTCTCAAAGAGTCAAAATAATTTTACAAAATAATAAAACGTTTTTATGCATCAAATAAACGTTTTTTAAAGGATTTTAAATGTTACAAAAAACCACAACGTTCAGCATTCGGTGTTCGGCATTCGGCGTCCGAACCATTTCAGTGGTTTTCAATATTTTTTACTTCATTTTTACCTCTGGGCATATTTAAAAGGTTTCCAAACAATTATTTTATAAAAACCACTTTTGTATTCTGGTCAATCAGTCTAACACGTGAAAATTGATCAAAACCGTCAACACGTGACAAACGACGTCGAAGACTTGATTACGCTCTTTACTTTACCTTCCTCATTTTTAAATTCCTGCGATTTTGTTTTAAACGCTATTCACCTCCCTAGCGTTGAGCCATTATTCTAACAATTGGTATCAGAGCCATACTCTTTGAAAGATTTAACCGTTTGAGAGAAACGATCAATGGCTTCTACTCAAAACTTATACACAGGGTTAGGTGAAAGACAATCCACCACGAGGCCTCCGTTGTTTGATGGAACAAATTACACATGTTGGAAGGAGTGGATGAGGATTTACATCCAATCCACCAACTTTCTCCCGTGGAGAATCATCAAGAAGTGCCCATGAAGAATGTTGGGAAAATCACCGTCCCTAAAACCAAGGATGAGTATGATGCGAAGGAGATCAAGAAGATTAAGAACAATGCAAAAGCCATGAACATCCTCTATTGTGCCGTGAACCCAGATGACTATCAGAATATTTCTTGTTCTTCTACCGCTAAGGAAATTTGGGACAAGCTTGAAATCACCTATGTAGTTATGGATCAAGTCCGAGAAGCAAAAATAGATTTTCTAACCCATGAATATGAACTGTTTCGTATGAAGGAGAATGAGAAAATCGATGAGATGTTTAAACGATTTTCAAAAATCGTCAACGACCTTCACGCTCTCAAGAAGACGTACACGGACAAGGAGCTTGTGAGAAAAATCCTGCGGAGTCTCACACCGGAATGGCGCTCCAAATCCGATGTTATCCAAGCGTCCATCGGCATCACCAACGTCACCATCGATGGGTTGAGAGTTAACCTCATAACCTATGAGTCTACCATTCTTTTCCCTTCTTTAGGTGAACAAAAGAAGAAAAGGATTGCACTCAAGGCTTCCACAAGTCAAGAACCCGCCATGGAGGAATCAAGGAACGAAGACAACAAGTTCGGGCTCGTTATCAAGAAATTCCACAAGTTCATGCAGAAGGAGTATGAATGAAAGAGCAACAAGCAAGGAGGACCACCCAAATGCTATGGGTGTGGAGAAATTGGGCATATCAAGCCAAAATGCTCGAATGCCAAGAACGAGAAGGAGAAGAAGTCATTCAAGAAACACCGTGCTTACATCTCGTGGGGAGGTGATTCCGGCGATGAGTCCTCGGATGGCGAAGAAAACGAAAGCGCCAACCTTTGCCTCATGGTACACGAGGAACCACTGGAGGAGGTATGTACCACTTCTAAAGATTCCTACACTTTTGATGATGTACAAGAAGCCTTTAATGAACTTTACGATGCGTATCTTAGCGCTCGAAAATTAACAAAGAGTTAAAGAAACAACTTACTTCCATGGAGAAGAAGGTTGACAAGCTTTCAAAAGACAATGAAAAACTTAAAGAAGAAAATATGTTTTTTTAGAAAAAGAAGCACCGACAAACCGGAAAGTTCTAAATGTAGCTCTTGCACATCACTAAAACAACAAGTTGCAAAACTTGAAGGAACTTTGAAGAAGTTTGGTATTTCACATAAAAACCTTAATGATGTTCTTGATAATTTGCAATTTCCTAAACATGGCTTAGGGTTTGAAAATGAAATTAATAGTAATAAGGAAAAAGTTGAGCAAACACCTAAACAACCTAAGGCTCAACTTAGGAAAAATAAAACAAGCAATAGTAGACAACCTAGAACAACTAGGAACACTAGACCACCTAGAAAGAACACTAGGATGAACAACGGTCATTTTAGAGAACCTAGAGATAATTTTTTGAATATGCACAAACAAAACTTTTCTCAAGGTAAGATCAATCAATATAGAAAACCTAGTAACTATAATCAACCTAGGAGAAAGCATAATCCAAATGTCATTTTCCATTATTGCAATAGGGTAGGACATATAGCCCCGGTTTCCTTGACTAGGCATAGGTATTGCACTCAAAACCAATCACACTACCAACGTGCACCTAACGCCCAAGGACCCAAAACGGATTGGGTACCTAATTTTTTAAAATTGATTTGTAGGTGTGCTTGAAGGCATCAAGTGTACTTTGGTACCTTGATAGCGGATGCTCCAAGCATATTACTGGAGATGCATCCAAGTCTTACAAATCAAACCAACTAAAGGAGGAAATGTGGTCTTTGTTGACAATAGCAAAGGCAAAATAATTGGCATTGGTTCGGTTGGTAAAAATGAAACCTCCTCTATTGATAATGTGTTATTAGTTAAGGGTCTTAAGCACAATCTTTTGAGCATAAGTCAATTCTGTGATAAGGGAAACTGTGTGAGCTTCGATTCAAAATCATGCATGGTAGAACGTCTTAGTGACAATAAGATGATTCTTCGTGGTGATAGAATCGACAATATTTATATGGTTAACTTAGATTAATCCCCCTCCGACTTTGCCAAGTGTCTCATGAGTAAGGAGGATGATATGTGGCTATGACATCGTAGAGTAGCTCATGTTAACATGAACCTCTTGAATAAATTGGTTTCATAAGACCTAGTAGTTGCCTCCCAAAGCTCAAGTTTGAGAAGGACACCATTTGAGATTCATTCCAAAAGGGCAAGCAAGTAAGGGCCTCATTCAAATTGAAAAACATTGTGTCTACAACAAGGCCCCTATAACTTTGCACATGGATCTCTTTGGACCATCAAGAACAAAAAGTTTTGGTGGCAACTATTTTGCCTTTGTGATTGTTGATGACTACTCTCGATTCACATGGACATTATTTCTAACTCATTAAAGTGAGGCATTTCATGTTTTCAAAACTTTTCTCAAAAGGTTCAAAATGAAAAAGGCTTAACCAGTGTAGCCATACAAAGTGATCATGGTGGAGAGTTCGATCTAGATCTCTTTTTCGAGTTTTGTGACAAACTTGGCATCGAGCATAACTTCTCCGCTCCATGTATACCACAACAAAATGGCGTGGTCGAACGGAAAAATTGATTCCTCAAGGAGATGGCTACAACTATGCTCGATGAGGCAAAAATTCCTAAGTATTTTTGGGCGGATGTCGTGAGTACCACGAGCTATGTGTTAAACCAAACAGTCATTAGACCGATTCTCATGAAAACCCCATATGAACTATACAAAGGAAGAAAGTCAAACCTCTCTCATCTTCGAGTCTTTAGTTGCAAATGTTTTGTTCATAATAATGGGAAAGATAACTTGGGTAAATTCGATGCAAAGTCGAATTAAGGAATTTTTCTTGGTTACTCATTGCGTAGTAAGGCTTATAGAATCTTTAACAAACTCACCTTAACCGTTGAGGAATCTCCTCACGTTGTCTTTTCCGAAAGTGATACTCGTTTGGCGAGAAAGGTTTCTTGTGATGATCTTGTAGATTCGTTGGAGAATATCTATCTCAACGACAATGAAGAAGGAAACAGCTCAAAGGAAGCACAAGACGAAGAAGAAGAGCCAGCCATGGACGAGGAACAACCACAAGAGGAAGAGATTCTATTGCCAATGGCGTGGAGGACTTCAAAGGACCATCCTCTTGACAAGGTAATTGGTGACATCAGCTGAAGGGTAAGTACTCGTAATTCTCTTAGGGACACCATAGGTCACATGGCTTTCATTTCTCAAATTGAATCTATAACCATTTCAGAAGCAATTGATGATGAACATTGGACTTTGGCAATGCAAGAGGAGCTTAACCAATTCAAACAAAATGACATTTGGGAATTGGTTCCAAGACCTGACCAATGATCATACCATAATTGGTACTAAATGGGTGTTCCATAACAAACTTGATGAAAACGGGATAATCACTAGAAACAAATCTAGGGTCATAGCTAAAGGCTACAATCAAGAAGAAGGCATTGATTTCACATAAACTTATGCACTTGTAGGACGTTTAGAAGCTATTCACTTATTACTTGCTTTTGCTTCATCTATGCACTTTAAACTGTACCAAATGGACGTTAAGAGTGCCTTCCTCAATGGTTTTATTCAAGAGGAAGTGTATGTTGATCAACCCCCGAGCTTTGAGGATTTTGAGCACTCGGATCCCTTCTTTATCTTACCACCAGTAAACCCGATATCATGTTTAGCGTTTGTGTATGTGCAAGATATCAATCATGTCCGAAAGAATTGCACTTGACAGCGGTGAAATGGATAATGAAGTATCTTGTTGGAACAATGAACGTTGGACTATGGTACCCAAAGGGTCTCTTTGTCATCTTTTTGGCTATTTCGACTCAGACTTTGCCGGTTGTATATTAGACCGCAAAAGCACGAGTGGGACGTGTCACTTGCATGGTAGCTCGTTAGTTTCATGGTTTAGTGAGAAGTAAGTCAGTATTGCGTTATCCTTAACCGAAGCGAAATACGTTGCCGCCGGAAGTTGTTATGCTCAAATCCTTTGGATGAAGCAACAACTAGTGGACTATGGCCTTAATATCGATCACGTTCCTCTTTGATGTGATAATAATAGCGCCATAACCTTGACAAAGAACTCCGTTCTTCACTCGAGGACGAAACATATCGACATTAGGCATCATTTCATAAGAGATCATGTTCTCAAAGGTGATGTCAAGCATGAGTTTGTTGAAACACACAACCAATTAACCGACATTTTAACAAAACCTTTAGAGAAAGAGTCGTTCTTCCGCATTCGAAGTGAACTTAGAATTCTTTACTCCACGATGATATAAGTTGCACATCAATTTTTTTAGGTCCTTACCAACTTAAATTTCGGAGACGTTTTTAACTCTTTTTTGCAGGGCTCTTTAAGGCTCAAATTTAGGTGTCAAAGTTAAGGGGGAATAAGGAAAATCCATTTCTGATTTCAGGATAAGGTGTCAATCGATTATCCCCCTTGTGATAATCGATTATCACAGCCCGCAGGAGTTGAAGCAAAGAAGCTGAAAATACCCACAATCGATTATTCAAATTTGGTTAATCGACTATCAACTGCCCCTGGACTTTTCAGACTTTAGGAGAAAAAGCCAGACAATCGATTATTAGAAACCTGATAATCCACTATCAGCATCTGCAGGTTCTTCAGCGAAAGTACAGAACAACCTGATAATCGATTGTCCAAAAGTGACAATTGATTATCACCGGTAGATTTTCAAAATCTGATCGTTTTATAGCCATTTGGAGAGCATTTATCACAAGTTTGACCACCTCAACGGATCTCCAAGGTTTCCCCTCTATATATTGGTGATATCTCTTCATTGTTTACTCACTCCAAACATATTTTCTTCATATAATCATCATATTTCATCAATCTTTTCCATTTCTTGCACTTGTTCTTCAAGTTCTTGCCCATTTCCTGCAATTTCTTGTTCTCTCCCTCTCTCTTGTTGATATGGGCAGGCGGAGAAAGGAAGCATTCCCGCACCGGAAAGGACGTTGCATCCTCATCGGCTCATCCACCACCACCGACACACAAGCATCTTGATGGCTCATTTTTGTGGTTCAACAACCGTGGAGAAGCTTCTCGGTTCGCTGAAAAGTTTGAGCACTGAGTGATTCTTCCTCCTCGGTTCTCCACTGCGCGTTTTTTATCAAGCGCCGTCCCTCAAGAGGCACAGAATATTCTCCATTGTGGCAACTTCCTCGAACTCCTCTACATCAAGAAGGCGCATTATCAACCATTTCTTGTTCGAGCCTTCTACTTGAACTTGAAAAAGGATGAGGACGGGGCGCTAATTTCAAATGTCAACGGGGTTGACATTTACTTCAACGTGGAGAACATGCAAATACTCACCAGACTTCGTCGGGATGGAGAGGATCTCAGCCACTATGTTGGAGAAGACGGGGCGCATTTCAATGAAACCGCTCTTTTGGAGGAAGTTGGAATCCAGAACTTCACTCCCACTCCCCAATAGCGCCGTCCTACAATTACTTCCATGAATCCCGTGTTTCGATTCATTTTCTATGTTTTGAGACAGGTTTTCAAGCCAAGGAAGTACAACCACACTAATATCTCTCAAGAGGACACCAAGACGCTTCATTAGATGATTCACAACGCCAACATCAATTGGTGTAAATTTGTGATGCCTCACATGTTTGGTGCCACCTCGGACGATAAGTCACTCCCCTACGCTCTTCTTGCCAAAGAGATTCTTGATGAAAACAACATCAAGACCGATGTTTGGCCAAAGCAAAAGGGAACAAGGCATTGGGAGATCGATGAGTCGTCCTTCCACTCGGGCAACGAAGAAAATCCTTTTTCGACGCCTCGTCCATGCCGCCAAACTCAGAAAGCGTCTTCAAGCTCGCCATCTCTAACCGAACAAATGGCCGCTTTGACCGCCACTCTCTCTTGGATAGACACAAACATCGCTTAAA